TCTGAAGGCTTCCAAACAGGACAGACAAGCCACGGAGAGTTAGAAATACAGCTTCACCTCCTGTGATTTATAGTCTTCAAGCATATATGTGCAAGGTGGGGAGAAAACGCCCCCAAAACTTCCCATTTCCAGAACTAACCACCAATTCTGACTGATGGGGAGACTTCAGAAGGAGCAGAAGTCTCCACTCAGTTTCCTTTGGGAAGGAATATTCTTCTCCCTGCCATCAGGATCAGCCGATTTTGCTGCTGCCAAAGGAGAACACCAAGAAAAGCTAAAAGCCAGAGATTCCTCCTTGAAACTCCTCCTGGGAGCCTGGCAGCAAGGTCCCAGGGAAGGCAGCGACCTGTGGGCTGGAGGAGATGCCCACACTCAGCTGCTGAGAAGCAGCACAGGGCAGTGAAGGCCAGGGCTGAATGGAAACCAAGAGCTGGGGTGTTCTCTTGGAAACAGAAAGACTGGGTTATTTTTTGCAAGCAGAAATCTAGTTTGTGGTCAGCTCTGGCAGCAGGTGGCTGCTTTGGAACCTCTGTGAAAAGGAGCACAAATAAAACCACATTTGAGCCTGCTATGAAGACAAACCAGCACCCACAGGGTTCTCTTTGCTTTGAGCAGAAGCTTATCCTGAAACCCATCACCCAAAAGAAAAGGGGAGAGGTTTATTTTGTCTCTTGGAGGCACTGGATCCTGGGTGTCTGCTAGACCAGGATTTCTTCTCTGTTAAGGAAACTCTGCCCTGTTTTCCTGTTAAGGAATCTGAATGTTATCACCTGCCATGCTGTAATCCCCTAAAAAGATTCCTACTCCTCTCAACACATGATGCAGGTTCTCTCTCTGCTATTTAAATTTTGGATCACGCTGCCTGAGCCCCGTGGGTCATTTAGAGAGGCTGCAACACACACACTCACCCACTAAAAGTGGCCTTTTTTAGGGGCTGGATTTATGCTGGCTAAAAGCAGAGGGCTAGAACAGAAGTCTCCACTCTGTTTGCTTTGGAGAGGGGGGATAAAAAAAGCACATTTCTAGCTGGGCAAGTTGCAGAGCAAAGCCTGAAGGTGGCACCTGCTTGCACCCTCCAGGCACTGGACAGCAAAGAAGAATCCAAACGAGCATTAAAGGAAGACTTGGAAAGTTTGAGTCGAGTTTTTTTTGAGTGCTTAGGACTGGCAAGATGCCCACAGCAAGTCACAGAGGTGACAAGGCAGCTGGTTGGGAGTGGTTATGATGCTCCAGTTATTTTTTTCCCCTCTTTGAGCAAGCAGAAGCCATTCCACATGAGAGGTCTTTTCTCCTGGTCAAGACAAGACCATCCTACTGCCATATATGCCACAGTGAGGAACGTGTCCTGGGTGCTGCTTTTGTCCAGGTTTTAATCAGCAATAACCTTCCCAGACAAATAAAGGCTGAAAGGATGGATGCTAATGGGTTGTAGTTACCATCAGCCTCCAGCAGAAGATTTACAGGTCCAAGCTCTGCACCAGGAGAGCAATTCAATGGGGAAATAACACTTTTTAGGGAAGGGGAGTGGTGGTGGTGGTGCCTGAAGGCAGGAGGGGCCCTGCTGGGGTGCTGCTGGATCCCATTCCACGGCTGGCTCCTTCCCAACCTGAGCATCCCTCCAGAAAAAAACAGGATGGAGACAGAAACCCCAAAGATTATGGAATAAAATTCAGGCAGGGGTAGGACAGGGAGTGTGACCAGCAGGGGAAGAAACAGGACAATATTACAGGCAAAGAGATGGGACTGGACTACTGAAAAAAGCTAAAAATGGAAAAAATCAAGACACCTCAATAAGCACCAGGCTGTTGCTCCAGGAATAACTCAGCACTAGGGGACACTATTGTGCCATAAATCGTGGAGTGTGCCACAGGGAAAGAAAAAGTCCAGTTTCTAGCAAAAAAACCCCAACACTTCACTTTCCTTTCTGAGGCACTTGTGACACGGTGCCAGGCTGGCACTTTGCCCCCTCTTCCCAACTCCTGTCGTCCCCCAGGCCACTCAAACACCACAATTTCTGGCCTCAGGATGGTGACAGGGTCTGTTTCTTGGTGTATTATTTCTCTCCAGGTCCCTCACCCTGAGCAAAACCTGATCAGCACTTTTCCCTGTGCCACCAGGCCACGTCACCAGCATGGGACAAGGGCCCCTCACCCAGGTTTCTGCTGAGCTGATGGCAAAGCTCCAGTCTCACCAGTACAGAGTGTGATGACTGAATCTCTGTGCCTAGTTTGGGAAAAGCTGAGCAGAAAACATCATTCTCAGCAGATTTCTCCACGCAGGAACCTGCGTGTGATGCGTGACCACACAGCACACCCCAAACACACCTTCCTCACCAAAAACATCCCTTCCTTCCAAACATTCACCTGTAAATCTACATTTACTGAGTGCCTGGCTGCTATTTGTTGGGGTGCTGCACCCCTGCAAGCCCTGCCAAGCCTTCAGCTGCCAGCAGAAGTGTTTGGGCTCCACGGGTCCAGCAGCTCCAGATGATGCCCTGAGTCCAGCCAAGCTGGGCTACAGCAAAGCTCAGTTTGGCTGGCTCAAACTCTGGGCCAGCAAGTCCCTCAACATCTCAGCCTGCTCCAGGTGCTGCTCTCAGCAACATCTGTGCTGCCTCAAAGTTTTTATTAGATCCTGATAAATGATTCTTACAGGGAGATTAGCCTCGAGTGCTGTGTGTACACACACTTTTAGGGAGGATCTGTATGCAGAGACTTTAAAAGAAGACACAGAAAACAGTCATTGTTCAAATCTAACTTGCAACACTTTCATTTAATCCTCAGCCATCTCTTTTAAATAATCTTTCCTATTGCACAAAAAAAAACAATTCTCTTGCCAAAACCATCATCTCATCCAAAAAAAAACAGACAAAAAGGGAAAAAAATAATACCTCTGGTATCATAAAAACACTTTGCAACACACAGACATAGAGCTTTACAGTACAAGATTTTAAAATCTGGGAATGGATAGTTTCTACAGTTTTCCAAAAGTCACTTTTCCACCAGGATTTCTATTTACACAAGGCCTTTAATGCTTGGGAGGTTCCAGCAGGATGGGAAGGAGTTTTAGCTGTGGCTTTGAACTAGAGGCTCTGCCCTCCTGTGGGTTTGGGGGGAACTGTGACACTCCTCTCCAGGACAAACCCTCTGCCAGCTGATGGCTCCTTAACTTTTCCTAAAGGGTTTTTCCCAATCTTGTTGAAAATTCACATCTATCAATTATTCTGCAGGTGAATTTGCTTTTTTTTGCTGACCCAGGGATCTGCAGATTGCTGTGGGAAGAGGGAATTTACACTATAGATCTGGTAAAGCTAATTTTTTAAATATTTAAAGATATTTTAAATATTTAAAGACATTTCAAGATCATTTCTCTCAGGCAGACCCCTGTCCCCAAGCCAAACTCCTTCTGCTCACACTTATTCAACAGCACTGAATCTGTTTCAAGATCACATCCAGTAAATCCCACACCACGACCTGCTTGCTCTCCCTTTATCAACCACTTTTCCAGCTAAGAGCCTTAATGGTACAAGAATTTCTATTTCCATCTCGATGGATCATGCAGCTGGGGCTGGGCTTTGCTCCAGCAAAACACAGCCAGTGCTACTTTTCCATGGGCTTGCTGGAAAAGCACAGGAATGTTTCCTTCTCTCCAAGATTTCAGAGTTTGTATTGACCTAAAGAAACAGCCCAGTCTGGCTATTTTTTTTTCTAACCTTACTATACTCAAAATAAGATTCACTTATGTCTCCTCCAGATGCAGACACTTCATCTCCAGGTCTTCCTGGAGATCCTTCTGAGGACTTTGGGTTGCCTTTTTTTTTCCCTGCAAGGCATGAGCCAAGTGGACACCCCTGAAAAGAATCAAATAGCATAGAAGCTATTTTTAAAAATTACTTTTGCCTTATTTTTTTCATGAGGATTTTAAAAAGCTTAGTCACTAGTTCAGCAAGACAGGCCCCATCCTGCACTGGGCTCCAAAGCTCTACTTTTAGGTCAAGCCTCCTGAAGAGCTGATCATCCAGCTCCTGCAGGCATCCATCACTTACAGGTCCAGTCCTACTGAAATAAGCTTCAAATCCACACTAGGATACTGCAATTTGAAAACTCCCACAGACAAAAATCACTCCAGAAAGTCAGAAAATCCAGGCAGATCTTCTGCCCACGAGAGTGTGTCCAAGGAGCTCCTTATTGGAGAGGGGCTCAAGCCCCTGTGCCTGGATTTGGAGACCCAAGCACCGACCCTGCAAGTCTTACAAACATAATTGTGTTGGAAACTGAAATCCAAAGCAGAGGGAGGTGGGAGCAAGGCAGGAACTGTCCCGGCCTCTGCTCTGTAAATACTTTAGTGGCTGTTTGCAGATTCAATAAAAACTCTGCCCTGTTTGCCAGGAACTCCCCGAGTGCCACGTCCAGCAGATGTTGGGGTTGGTTCCCACCGACTGGGAGATTTAATACTCTTTGTAGAGCTGTGAAACGAAGCAAACACCCCCCCAAAAAAGGCTTTGAAGAGTTTGTTTATGCAAGTTTATCATCAGATCAACAGTTTTTTGGTGCTGGCTACCGGTGGCTCCTCCATCCTAAGTGGCTGCACGTGTCCAGGCGGTGCTTTTGGGGAGCAGGCCAACCCCAGCAGCACCTGTACCACCAGAAATCAAGGACCATCCACCATTATTAATATCATTACATAGCTGATGGCCACAAAGACCAGCGAGCCTCCGTCGGGCCTTCTGGAAGAGTTTTGAGATCTCCATTGCCCAGCTGAGACCTCGGGGGAAGGTCTCACCTCCTTACGAAGAGGCCACGGCCGCCTTTCCATTCTCCCTCTCCGTTTCTCCAAAGGGTTCCTCCTCTCTCTCTTTGAGGGAGAACTTTTTCTTGAAGGCTTGCGACACGCTGGAGGATGAACCCTTCCTAAACGTGGTCAACCTCTTCCGAAAGTTGCGCCCGGAGAAGAAATAGAGAAGTGGGTCAAAGCAGCAGTTGGCAGCTGCCAAGGGGAGGGTCACCACCACGGATTTCTGGAGGTATATGGCGTTCTCACAGCTGGTGCTCTTCAGCCTCAGGACGTGGAGGTGGACCGTACGTAGGATGTGGTAGGGGGTGAAGCTCACCAGGAAGGTGGCCGTCACGATGACGATCATCCAGATGGCTTTCTTGCGGTTGGCCTGGTTCTTCTTCATGGAATTTTTCAGCAAGGTCCTTATGATCATGGCGTAGCAGATGGTGATGACGACGAAGGGGAAAACAAACCCCACAAATAAGGCAATAAAATCCAGGATGACGACCACGTTTTTCTTCTGGGAGTCGTCGGGGGGTTCGAAGCACTTGGTCTTGTTGTCGTGTTGGTAGGTGCCGTTGCGCAGGAAGGGAGCGCTCGTCAGGCAGACAAAAATCCAGATGCCAACGCAGACCAACTTAGCCTTCTTCTCCGTCACCAAGTGGATGTTCTGGACTGGAAACACGATGGCTATGCAACGGAAGAAGCTCATGGCGGTCATGAAGAAGATGCTGCAGTAGAGGTTGACGTAGAGCGCGTACGAACTGATCCTGCAGAGGAAGTCGCTGAAGAACCAGTTCCCTTTGTGGACGTAGTAGATGACCCTCAGGGGGAGGGTGCACACGCAGAGGAAGTCAGACACAGCCAGGTTGAGCATGTACACCTGGAAGGCCGTCTTCTGGCGGTAGGTCCTGATGAGGACGAAGAGCACGACGCCGTTGCCGGTGAAGCCCACGATGCTGATCATGGAGTAGAGCGTGGAGTAGACTCGGTTTCGGAAGTCGTCGATGGAGTGCTGGCAGGATAAGTTGTTGAACAGCCCCGTCATGTTGCCTGGATGAGGCATGGATCCCACTTGGAGGTGGACGTCAGGCCTGAGGAGGAAGGAGGGGGGTGAGATGGGTGAAGCAGCACGTGAAAAAATGCTGTCGTTAAGTGAGGGGAACTTGGCACCTCTCTCCTGCAGGAGGGAACAGCCTGGAAGGGATGTGGATCTACACAGATCCATGTTATCCCAACTAGATCCATGTTATCTCAACTAGACCCACGTTATCCCAACTAGATCCACATTATCCCAACTGGACTCACATTATCCCAACCAGACCCACGTTATCCCAACCAGACCCACGTTATCCCAACCAGACCCACGTTATCCCAACTGGACCCAAGCTGCAGCAAGGCTCAGGTCTGAAGAACCAACCTCTGGGTCTGTCTCTATGAAGGTAACTCTCTAGCAAGGTTTTTTTTTGGGGGGTTTGCTTTTGCACGTTGCTTTGATTTACATTAGCAGGCGTGGGGGTCTCCAGAGCACTCAGACCCTACAGCCAGGGAGGGGTTTTGGGTCCACTGAGCCAGTCTTTCATGAGATTTTGTTATTTCCTTTTGGTATCTGAGTGCAGTGAGACCTGACACTCTTCGTTTGGGTTGTCCTGAAGAAGAAGAGCAAGGGGAAAATGACACACTTAGATCTTTTTCCCCATTCACTTTCAATTTTTAACAGTTCAGGCTCACTTGCAGTCTGAGACCATGAAAAACCCCAATAATGAGAAATTCAGGACACATGCAGGCTGAAATACCAGGACTGAAGAAAAACTGATGAAAACAACAACTAGAAGAAGCTTGGTTATGAGGACCCACACCATGGACGTGCCCCAAGCTGATGCTAAATGATATAGGATGAGAGGAAACTGGCTGAAGTTGTGCCAGGAGAGGTTTAGATTGGATGGGAGGAAGAATTTCTCTCTCCTGGCAGAGTGGTGAGGCCTTGGCCAAGGGAAGTGCTGGAGTCCCCAGCCCTGGAGGGGTTCCAAAAACATGTGGATGTGGCACTTGGGGCCATGGTTTAGTGGTCGTGGTGGTGCTGGGTTGATAGCAAGACCTGATGATCTTGGAGATCTTCTCCAACCTTTATGGTTCTATGATATGTATTTTAATCTGTAAAAACAGCCTGGCAGCATTAGAGTCTGTGTCTCTCTCTCCACGACTTACTGGGGATTCAGAACCACACTGGGATGCTGGAGGCTTCCAGGTTTTGGCCACGTTTCAGCTGTTTGGGAGTTTGTTCTCTTAAAACAATCTGATTATCTGCAACACACAAAATCCTTTAAAGGTCAGCAGGTAGCAGCGAGGTGGCACAGCCAGACACAAGAGGACACAGGGGGGTGTGAGCCACAGAGTGTGACTGCTCAAAGGTCTTTGGCCAGAAGAGGCAGCCAAGACTCAGCACGGCTTGGTCAAAGGCTGTAGGTCAGCACCTTCTACATCATCACTTGGGGTTCATCATGCTCACTTAGGGTTTAACCTCCTCATCAGAGAGGCAACGAGTTCACGGCCACGTCCTCACCACTCCCCACAAACTGCCTCTCAGCAGCCTGGTTGTGGTGCTGGCAGAGCCCAGACCTCAGCCACAGCGTAGAAGACTCTGGTCTCTTCACCCACCCTCACAATGCCAAGCCCAGAGTGGGTCTGACCACCACCATGAGCTTCTCTCCTCTGTGAGGAGAGCCCCAATGGAGTAGTGCCAAGACCAAGCCCTGCGTGATGCCCAGAGGTCCAGCCTTCATCCCCCACTGCTGGCATCCCCCTGTGCCCGAGGTCTTCACTTCAGCCTTGAGGTTCAAGTTATGACAAGAGCCACACTCAACGTCTTAAGATCTCCCAGATAGGGCTGAAATTATGTTTGTGGGCTGATTTTAACGACTTGCTTGGCAATTCTCTCTGAAATAAGCTGCCTGATCCCCGTTGCTTGTTTTTATCTGTCGAGATAACCCCATGGCAGGTGATGAAGCTCTTACTACTGTTCCCCTTATCTCAGGGTCAACGAGCTACACGAGCTGGAGGAACACATTGAGATTAGCAGCTCGATTATCTCTTGAAAACCCACCTAGATAAAAATCTCTGTACTTCCCAAGGCATCGAATTATCAGCTCTTTCTCAGACATTAAAACAAACACAGAGAGATGGAGATTAAGGGGCTGGAATGATCTCTTTTGCACATTGAGGCTTCTCCCATCTGCCTGCACCTCCAGGCAGTTAGGATTGTTATGAAGAAGGAGCAGAAAAAGGGACAAACTGGGACAGCCAGTAGATAAACAAAGAGGTTTTGTCTTCAAGCAGCAAGTGAGAAGAGAGGAGGCTGCAGAAGGAGAAGCACTGAGGGAGCCAGGCAGGGTGGACAGGACCTGCCTCTCCCCACAGCACATTTGGGGTGAGGATCCTGTGTGGATTTGGGAGGACATGAGGGATGCACCATGACCTTCCTGCCACTGTAAAGTTCTCCTCTCTTCTGCCCATTTAACTACCCGAAGAGACAACCATGGATCATGGAATCCCAGGTTAGAAAGGACCTCAAGGATCATCTGGTTGAACCTTTCTTGGCAAAAGCACGACCTAGATCGTTAGTAGATACTATTCAACAGCTCAACCCATCACCTGCTCGTTAGATAAACTCCCTTATTTAATCTCTGTGCCTTTGTGCACACTTCTGAAGTGGCTTTGTGTTGACCTATAAACTTTTAACCTCCTGGAGGGACCAAATGTCAATCTTCCAGCTGCTGTTCTTAAAAACACTAGCGGGGAGCAAACAACCAGCTGAGGTGTTTGTCCAGGAGACCACAGAGACCTGTTACCTCGTGGACCTATCATCAGTTATCATATTTCTAAATTTATCATATTTCTAAGCAGAATTTAAGATGCTTTTTGTAACCCAAAGGAAAACTGACGCCTTGCAACGCCGAAACCTATCTCTAAAGTCTAAGACAGCTCCAGATGCATCTGCAAAACCCAAAAAAACCCCTGCAAAACCCCAAACCCCATTTCCAGCTGAGGCTTTATACCGGGTTTGCATGGTGAACTGCAGATAAATATCAACTTCTGCCCCTTGGAGCCCACAGAATCGCGGTTCGATGCCCCGTTTGGTGGGGAGCTGGTGAATTCAACCCGTCAGGAACCAGCCCAGGAGGGGAGGGGGCTGGCTGAGGAGCATCTCCCACCGACCAAACCCCTCCACAACCAGGCTCTGCCTTGTTCCCCTCCCCGCCTCGCTCAGCGCAGCCCATTTCGAGCCGCTCGCAAGGAGATGGACGCTGAATTCGATCCCAAAACCAGAAAGCAAAGAGCCAAAGGAGACGCTGGGATTTGTTTTAGGGTCAGAGGGAAAGCAGCATCAATTCCCGGCATCACCCCGAGCACCCACACGGGCTGGATTCGGCGTTTGGTGGCAGAGGAGTAGGAACCACCTCAAAACACACCTCAAAACGCCTCAACACACCTCAAAATACCCCAAAACACCTCAAAATACCCCAAAACACCCCAAAACGCCAACCCCTTCTGCGAGAGGGACGGGGTTTGCCCTCGGGAAGAGGAGCAGGATGACCGACGGGAGCAAGCAGCGGCCG